TATATGTCTTACATTTGAGTGTTTTTGAGTTGCAGGGGTTTGAAGCTTCTCTCTCAATTTAAATAACAGTACACTATAACTGTCCTATTAGAAAGATCTACGACAGACTGAGCATCTCCTCATTAACATACAATGTCTTCAGGGCTTTAACCCTTTGTTAGGACAGACAGTTCTGCTCATCTGCTTTCCAATTGATAGTGAACTCAGCCAGCACAGTACAGACAGGGTTAATTACTTGAAACACAACTTTCCCCAACTCTGCAGAGTGAGAACTAAGCAGGATTTTTCAGTCCTGGAATTAGCATAAACAGGGTCTAAAAAATGTAAGATGCAACTTTTAAGTTATGCTATGTGACTTGGAACATGTTACAAATATAAAGTAGGCATTGGCCCAATTAGGCTGCAGAAAGCGTGAATACACTTTCAAATATATATAAACCCAATTGCTAAAATCTCATATAAGCTTTATTAATGTCATTTCAAAAGTAATTTTCAATATTTTTAATCTTGCAACCGAATATGCTGTGATCCTGCCTTGAAGACCCTTGTTCAGGCAAATTGTAGGGTGACAGCAATTTATCTATTTGTCGCCAAACTGTTTTTCAAAACAGTGTAAACAACATTTTATTATAAAATGGCAATTGTTTATGACAGCTTTAGCAAAGTAAGTGTCATTCAGTTATGGATAACATGTTCTTTAACCCCTTAGTGACTGGAGACGTACTCTACATCCACATCACTAAGGGTGTTATTCACAAAGCTGCCGAGGGCAGCCGTGTGAATAACCAACCCGAAGTTCTGGCTATTCACTTCATGCTTGTACGGCTGATTTCAGCCGTACAGTGACTGAAATCAGCCGTATAGCGGCTTGCTGCAGCTGGCTTCTGGTCGGCCGAACATGCTCAGCATGTTCAAATGACTGCTCATGTACACTTTACGTGATCAGCTTTTTGGGGCTCTGTAATGCTGGTAACCGCTAAGAATCAGAGGTTACCATTTATTTATGGATGCCTCAGTATTGTGGCATCCATTAATTAAAGAGTTAAGCTTTTACAGCCACCTCGGGAATCGGGTGCCTGACAGTGATAGCAGTGCAGTATTTACCAAACTTGCTGTCACTGTTTTACAGTTCATACAGATCGGGATTAGGAAATCCAGAAGTGTACTGGCTTTTTGCTAAATGTTTCAGAATATAAACATTTAGCTACATGTTTCTATTCTGAAACATTGTTGCAGGTTTCTGATCATTGTAGGAACGATCAAAAGCCTTTAGTGACATCTGATCCTAAAGTGGCCATTTTTACTAAGGGCAGAATAATATATCTCCCTTTACTTCCAGGAACTCTGGCACATGTGACTATGACATGTGACCATGCATTTATCTCAGGGGGAAAAATGTCTTTCCATGAGATCTCCTGACATTACAGATGAGGTTTCCCAGCAATGCACTGCTGATGTAACCTTCACAGGATGCATTTCTTAGGCATGGGGAATATCACTAATGCCTAAGAGTACCAGGAAGTAGAAAGACAGTAATTTTAAGTAATAGAAAAATGTTTAGTTCACTAATGAATGCAAGATGATTTCATATCAGCATGCAGAGTTGAATGCTGATGTGATTTTTATTGAACAGGGGTTAAGGTCCACTTTAAAGATCAATGTGCATTCATTAATTTTATTTACATTGAAACCTGCAGAGCGTTGCACCTAGAGGAAGTGCAACTGGATTACAACTTGTTGTTATATCACTGAACCTCCGATGACTCTGCAGAGTCCCCTTAGGGCAGTGGTAGCTGGCGCATGTAGGAATTTATTGTGAGCAATCCTAGACCTGGATGACAAGGTTATGTGGGCAGAGCCTCGTACAGCTGAACTGAATTCAAATAATCACAAAATTCTGCATCAAGAAGCACCCCACAATTCAGGTAAATGGGGGTTCGCCCTTGGGGATGATATATTTCACCATGCTTCACGTTACAATCTAAATATGGCTGTAACATGAAACAGTCTAAAACTTAGAATTAGCATTTAAACATACAGTATATTGTTGTGGGATGAAACTCCCAATGCAAACACAGAAAGAACATACAAACTGCATGCAGAATTTGCCCCTGGTTACTGGGCCCAGAAAAAAATTATTTTAAGAAAGTGTGCTAAGTACTTTGTGCTGCTTATGCACCAGGAAATGCAAATATAAAAACCTGTCATACTGTCTCTATGGAACACATTTCAATAAGGCTGATTTATTAAGGGAGTTGAGAATCAGTGGAAACATTCACTTCAATTATCTAATTATGTGAAATGCAAATTTGTTTTTTCACTTTGAATACTTAGGCATGTGTAGTTGTCATAAGTAAACAGGCATTTGCTTTTCACGTGTTTGGATAATTGAAGTGAATATTCACAAAATTAATTGAGTGAAGATTCTTGGCTCATTCAGTAAATCAGCCCAATTGTCTGTAGCCTGGTTTATATGCTAGAATATAATACATTAAGGAATAGTTAGAAATAAATAGGAATTAGTTGATAATATTCAGAAAATAAAAAAAACAGGATAATGCAATTAAGTGAACAAATAAATATATGACAGATAAAATAGATTCTCTAAAAAGCAAAAATGATCCTGTTTGTTCTCTCATTGGACAATCCTTACTCCGGAGGGTGATTACATAGTGCAGGCATGTCTTAGGCCTATGAGTGGCTTATTGCAAGAAAACTGTCAAAAGCCAAAAAAGGCCTGACTGCATTGTAATTATTGCTTTTGCACTTATTACATAGGCTGGAAAAGTTGACAGTAATGTAAAGTAACATAAAAAGCCTCCTTGTGCTCTTAAGTTATCAATTCGGACTAAACATTTGTCCATTGTCAGGTTCTAAACTGCTGCGTTTCATCCCTGCAAGTTATTCTGATGGAGTCTACCAAGTGGCAACAGATTTACCAAACCCTCGAGAAATCAGTAATGCACTGGGCACAGGACAGTCAGGCTCTCCATCTGAACAAAATCTCACAGTGATGGCTGTATATTTTGGTAAGACAATAAAGAGTGCACACTCTGTAATTCTGTAACTTTATGGAATGTATCTAGAGATATCATTGTTCATGCGCCTTTATTTCAATACATTTCAATTTATTTCAATATATTAAAGTAATGAAAAAAATATATAACATCGTCTATCTATTTACTTATTTTTATTACATGTATTTATATAGCGCCGACCATTTACACAGCGGTTTACATAGTTGCACATTCACATCAGTCCCTGCTCCAAAGGAGCTCACAATCTAAGGTCCCTATCTCACATACATACAGGGCCAATTCAGACAGGAGCCAATTAACCTACCAGCATGTCTTTTGGAGTGTGGGAGGAAACCGGAGTACCCAGAGGAAACCCATGCAAGCACAGGGAGAACATGCAAACTTCTTTTGCAGATAGTGATCTGGCTGGGATTTGAACCAGGGACCACCAGTGCTGCAAGGCAGAAGCACTAACCACTATGCCACTATCTATCTATCTATCTATCTATCTATCTATCTATCTATCTATCTATCTATCTATTTATCTATCTATTCATAGATAGATTTATAGATATCTGCTTCATCAGCTTCTTCAGGGGGTCCTAGGTGACATTAGGGATCTTGGAGGTTTTCTTAGCCCCCTATGTGATAGCAATAAAGTTAAGTGAAAAAAAATTAAAGTTTCCCCACCAAAAAATTTAAAGCTACAAATAAAAAAGAATTTAAAAACATTGGTGCGCATACGTGCGAAAACGACAATTGTGCCCATTATGCCGCACATGTTACATATCGTCGCGAACGTCGCAGTAAGAGCAATAATTCTAGGGCCATTAATCACTGATAACACTAAACTGATGAGCGGTAAAAGCTTTTAAAGCGTCGCCTATGGTCAATTTTGGGTATGGTAGTTTTTTGCGATTTCGCGGGTGCGCGCAATTTTAAAGCTTGACATGTTTTGTGTCTATTTACCCGACATGACCCCGTCTTTTACATTTTACCAAAAATATGGGTAATAATCATTGTTTCCTAATATAATGGGAAAAAAACATTTTTTCCCAAAATGTTTAATAATTTTTCCTTAATATAGTAGAAAATAAAAAAACCCCGTAGTGGTGATTAAATATCACCAAAATAAAGCTCTATCTGTCCCCAAAAAATGGTATAAAATTCATTTCAGTACAGCGTTACATGACGGAATAAACGTCAGTCAAAGTACCGCAGCGCTGAACACTGAAAAATGGCCTGGCCAGGAAGGGGGTCTAAACACCTGGTCTTGAAGTGGTTAAAATATATTATTTATATAACATTAAATAACATGTTATTATTGAATTTCCTAAACAAATGCACCCTTTTCTTTTCCAGGTTACCAGGTACTTTCTGAAATAGTGTCCACAGATATGCCTGCCTGCCCAGCTGAATTTTTGAACATTGTCATTCCACTTGGAGACCCAGCATTTGACCCAGAGAACAAAAGCAATGTGGTTTTACCATTCCAAAGGGTTCGATGGTATCCTGACACAGGAAAAAGCCCTAACAACCCAAGAGCGCAGGTTAGTTTAAAAAGTGTAAGAGAATGTATTTTCTCACCTGTGAAATCCTCTAGTAGTGAGAAAAACCTTTTTATTTCAACACAAACGTGTATCATTTATATTTGTGTAAGCCACCTTTACTGCTTTGAACTCTTTAAACCCCATACAATAAAGCCCAGTTCCATGATTTGTTTGCCCACATGGATAACCTTAAAAAAAATAGGTTCAAGTTTTTTTTCTATGGTCAACAAACCTTTTTTTATCAGCATTGACCAAATGGTCAAGCCTGATTAGCATCTATTGCTTTCTTATTGTAAATGTATTAAGTTCACAATTGATTTGAAGGAAAGTAATATACAGCATACAGTATTTATAAGAGAGTGTAACAAAAGGTTCTTTATTCTCCAGGTCAATTCTGTAACAGCCTGGATTGATGGTAGCTCCATTTATGGTCCTTCTCACTCTTGGAGTGATGCTCTGAGAAGTTTTTCTGGGGGAAAGTTGGCTTCTGATCCTAATGGTCTTTTTCCACCTTATGCCAAAAAAGCTCTTCCAGTTTTTCGTGTGCCTGATCCTTCCACTGGGCAAGGAGGAGATGAAGGAATATACAGTAAGTGTCTGCATTGCTATCTGTTTATTTCACAAAAAAAGTCACGCAAAAGGTTTTTTTTGGTTACATACCAAAGAGACCACTACTGTGTCCAATATCTAAATATAATTTGACTTTTTACATTTTTAAATACACGTGTAATTAGGATCAACATAATCTAATAAGATAATCTGTTTTCCTTGTATAATGCATTCATATACAAAGAAGGAAGTAGAGCCTACATGTGTAATGTACAAATGGTTGTCACGTTACATATGCAGGCTCTACTTCCTTCTTAGTAATGCAGCAGAGAAATGACTCCTACATTTTAGTGCATGCTGTTATTTTAATAATGTTCCATATTCTGTGAAGTGTTTTTCATGTGCACTGTTTAGTAATAGACCACAATTGCCGTAATGCAGACTGCTGTTTTTCTTTTGTTATTGACAGTTTAGGCAAGAGGCAATGATGTAATGAGACTTTTCTGGAAAATGTTGCCTCATTTCCACACTGTTGCGCATTTACAGAGTTTACTGTAGAGGGTCACTTCTCATGAGTGGGTTGGATGACGGCTGTGTCATGTTTGGTTGGCTCTGTTGCATATTTCTCATGTGTGATGATTGCAGCATTACCTCACATGCGCACCCTGGCTTACACCAGCCCAGTATTTCTCAGCACTGAAATCAGTGTGAATGCCTATTAAGTGTTAACTGACATTTTTCCACAGTAACTTAAGAAGAAGCTTATCTAGCAGATTCATTTCAAGTAGGTACAGCAGAAAATTAAAAAAATATATAAATTAAAAGACGTGGCTATATCCATCTTCCCACTTGTCAAGGGTTAAATAATCTGCAGTAATGACGTTTAGGGGCTCATATGTTTGCCACTTTAATAATTTACTTTCATTTATACCTTTTTACTGCTTGACACACTGGTCATTGTTGACTATTTGCTTCACAACTGGAAAAATATGTAATTCTCTACCCAAGAATAGGTTTTCCCTACTCCCCAATGTTCAGTCTGTTGATGTATTTTGTGTATAAATTATATGAAAAATTCATCAATAAGAATGGTCTACTAAGCAACATTAGAATCATATGGGTTTGTAGATATAAAATGTCATTACCTCCATTCTGATCCAATCACATTAAACCTTAATTATTTTTGGGCACTGCCCTTCCTTCCCTCAATTTGTGGGTTTACATCTCCATAATATTGCCTTTTTTGTAAAGAAAGCATACTCATCTAGACCAAGTCATTTAAACAATTTTATAAAGAATTATTGTTTCCCACAAAATAAGTATTTCTACGTCCTATTCTCAATACCTTGCTGTTGAAATTCTGGTAAAAAAATTGCTGGTAAAAAGATTGCCCTAAGAAAATCTGTTTGAAGCAGCCTGTGGTTCGCAGGGCAGTCTCTGACAGAAGAAGATCTGAGAATGCCTTAAGTTAAATGCTCCCAATGATAGAATTTGTCAAGATCTTTAAGCATATGTCCTGGGAGTATGCAACTGTAACTAGACTGAACATTATTTTTCAAAATGCATACTGTAATTGTAGATTCCTGATTTAACAATACAATATTTATACAAGAAAAGCTTGGGAGAACATGTAAATTCAAGTTTGGTCACATCACACAGCTGAAAGCTGCATAACAACATACATACCGGAATGGAGTGACATACTCATTAAGAGCCTCAGAGAAACAAGGCAGAAACAATAGCAGGGTGTCTCTCTCCCAGAATTTTTGGTTTACCATATTTGTCTTTTTCAGAAACCTGACAAAAAATTCTTATTAAGACAGTTAGATAAAAAGGTAACTGAAGACCCAGTTAAAATATATTTTCTATTTCCTCAGAAGATTTGAAGCTTTTGAAGTGTCATTGAATCAGCATTTTGCTCGTATTCTTTCAACTTAGGTTTAAATATTTAACTGTTTGCTTTGGAAACAATTTTTGTATTCACTTCTTCGGCAATAAAAGACCTAATTACTGCACTTGGGATATTCATCAACACTATATGATCTGTGTTATTATTTTATGTTTTATTCTTGCTAAAAACTGAGTGTGGCTTAATAAAAAGAACCTGTCAAGTCCTATATTATACTAGCACATTGCAATAATTGTGATTCAGGTATTATTGGTATTACTTGACTAAAAACAATTCACTTATGGGGCTTATCGAGCTTATCAACAACATCTTACTTTGGAGAGTTCCTATTGGGTCTCTAGGTCTGAAAATGAAGGGAAACTTTACTAATGGGAGACTGATAGCAAAACATATATTGGCTGCAGTGCTAAACATCCAAACCCTATCCAAAGCTTAAAAAAGGGCTACACATGCACTTTAAGTAGAGAATACTAATACATTTTCTAAACACTCATGATTTACAAATGATCTAAACAAGGCAAAACTCACATTCTGATCCCAGCTTCCAACTGCATTCACGTCCCAGGTGCAGGCAAAGAGTGCATCTCCATCTCAAACAATCTAGAGTCAACACATGCCACACTCCACAGGATTTCATCCAGAAAATACAGTCTTTATTTAAGGAGCAATAAACTCACTGTGCATATCTCCCCTCCTCAATCTCGAACATGTTTCACCATTAAGCCTATTGGTGAAACGTGTTAGAGGTTGAGGACTTTTAATTCCTGGATAGGATCCTGTGGAGTACAGCATGTTTGGAATCTTAATAATGATTTACAGGTATTTTATTCTTGCATTCCATTGTGATTCCATATTCCATTGTATTGCATAATTCTGGAATAGAGGCCATAACTTGGCTATCTTATTATATTTTTATTCTAGATAAACAGAAGCTGTTTTGGAATTGGTTGAGTCTCCGTTGATGCATATTATTTATGCGGACAGTCTTTCCACCCCGTAAAGTCATAAAGTGTCTGTGGGGCCATTATAGACAAACAATTTTGTGGCTTTAGTGTGGCAGCATTTTCACAGACAGGCTACTTATAAAAAAAATCTACATCTAAATCTAAAAAAATAGTGGATTTGCAAAGGGTATTCCCTTTTGTTGTTTAAAGAAAGTGAATCAGAAATTCAACCTCCTTCAACATTGAACTAAATAAATGACAGGTTCAGAGAAGGAAAATTCAGAATATTACCCATGAGATTTATTCTAACAATAATAAATTATAATCAATAATAAATAAGTGATGATTTTTTTCCACAACAGTGCTGCACAATCATTTACTTTTACTGATTTAAGAGTATTTTTTTGCTTTTTTGCAAAAAATAAGAGATGTTAACCTTCTGTTATTCTTTCACTATCACAAATTCCATTGCAGAACAAAGGATTGAACTTTGCTCCTTGTGCATGTTTTTTTTTACATATTGATATTATAATTGATTTAGATTCTTTTAAATAAAAAAAATACTTATATAGACATTTTGCTTCAGAATATTTTGACCAATATTCTAATTCATCTAACACTAATGTATTCCCTGAAGATATAAATGATCAGGTATTCATTAATTGATTTACAGGTAGAGTTCAGATGTTGTGCATTGTGTTGCCAATGTGGATTGTTGGATTTAGCTTATCATATGAATTTTATGATTTATATGTGATTCATTTTAAACTAGATCCAGTTTTTTCAATGTTTATGTCTGGAGCATTAGCATTCCTCAGTTGTATGGAAACAAATACAGCTGTTTAGGAACAGCATCCAAAAAGATTTTAAAACTGTTTAATACCGTGCTCTGCGGAAGTTATGCAACATCTCCCTAGAGTGTATCTTAACCCAAAACAGATATATTGTTGCACATGTTCCTGTAATGTTAAAAGTTTAATCCTTTTTTATTATATGTCCTGCTTCCAATGAAATTATACCATAGAGGTTTTATTCACAGACACTTCCTGTTCTAGGGTGATAATGCTTGAACAGTTCAGCTGCAGCATTTTCACCCTTTCACTCCTGAGTCAGATGTCAAACACCTGTGTTGACACTCAGTGAACTGAGCACAGTCTGCCATAGTCATCGCAGCTACTGCTGGAGCGCACAACAGCTGTTGTGGGACTACTAGTCCCATGAGGCACTACAAGACTCTAACAGCCAGAGGCATGACTCCCAGAGGGAGATGCTTTGTGGGATATGTAGTTGTACCACAGATGAAGTAATGTAAATTAGTAAACTGAACATGAGATTGTAACCCATCACTGGAGGGAGCTTGGAGTGGTGGCTACTTTACAAAATGCACAGGGACATGGGGAACAAAAGAAGCCACCCTCCAAAAGGAAGGACAGTGTCAGCACCAATTCAGAGATGATTTGAGGATATACAGCTTGAGTGATACACAAATAAGGTACAGTTTTGTCAATAGTTCTATTTGATAGCCCTAATAGGAAAACATTATATAGCACTTCCTTACAAGAGCAGCAATATCAGTGGGGATTTTAGGATGAACGCCGGATAGTTAACAGAGATCCACAATGAACATTTACTTTGAGTCATCATAATCTAAGTTGAATACCAGTTGTGATAAATGTTTCTGTTAAACTTGTACTCAGAGAGGAATACGTAGGATGCAATTGGTGACCTCCTTCTGAAAGTGCTAGTTGAATGGATGTCTGTGCCTTCAGTACTTTTGGAGTGAATGACCCACAACAATTTAGCAGCAAGGGAAGTAAGGATGAAATCTGCCTGTTTGTTCCAGGCTAGTGACTTAGAAAATACTAAAGGCACGGTACTATAATGTAATCCAGGAAGCTATTATTTTCAGAAGTAGAGATCAGCAATAGCAGACTACATGCTTCTTTACTACGGGTTGTCTTTAAAAACTATTTTTGAGTCTCTATTTTTGTGGTTTTAAGTTAACATGTCTGATTGTCTCTGGAATGCAGGCTTTGGTAATGCTATGGCCAACGAAAGTCCATTTCGTCAAGTGCAAAGTATTGTCTGGTATTGGTACCATAACCACGTGGCAGAATTATTAGCAGCTACTCATACTAACTGGTCAGATGAAGTCTTGTTTCAGAATGCCAGGAAAAAGGTCATTGCTGTTTACCAGGTAACAAACTCATACACTTTTTAAAATGTACTATGGGACAGGGAGGATAAATGTGCACCGAATATTTATAGGAGGGAAAATAGTTAATAGAAAACTCATCTAGCTCAATAAGTATACTTAAAGTAGAACTCTGACCTCCCTTAAACATAATAATATTGCCTCAGCACTTAATTATAAGTGCATCTGGACAGGTCCTCTGCAATGTTCACAAACACTTGTACTTGTTGACTCTGCCAGTAAAGTCCACCTGATGTTTCCTGTGATGATGTGAGAACAACACTTCACTGCTCCTAAATTCAGGGCAGACTTGCCACTCACATGTAGGCTATAATTGCTCGCACTACAGTGGGATGAAAATAATGTTGCAGAGGACATGGCTTTAAGCAATCTCATTGCTGAGTCACATGCCTGTAGCTGGTTAACCAGCATCTGAGCACCTAGTCCTGCTCACTGCATTCTGGATTTATAGCACTGCTTCTGTTTCTGAACCCCCCCTTCCCCCACTGTGAGCTACAGTGTCTGGGAGGGGGAGCGTGTGAGACACAAATGAAGGAAGATTTGTTTCATTTAGGGAAGGAAGATTTTTTGTTTACTATGAGTCTTGTACATTACATAGTAACTGTTTTTGGTACTTGTTTAGGCTTTCATACAGGAGCCTTTGGTTGTACTTTAATGTTTCACAAGGAGCTTTAATGGCTAAACATGAGTGAATAATAGTATTAACAAATACTTGTACTTAGATATCATGCAATAATCTTTCTTGTAAAATGTTCAATACAAAATAGAGTAGGCTCTGTGTTGAAGAATTCTAGACGTTAGAATTGCTGTTCAATCTTTAATCCTTTAAGAATAACATTAATTTCAGTCAAAAAATAACAGAATAATGAAAGCTCAACTTTGGGCACAATAAACTTACTACAGTTTAGTAAGTTGTAGAGTGATGTTGCTGTAAAGCCACCTGCCATAAACAGAACTGTCTCCTTCTTACCGCAAATAATCACTATGCCTACAAGTGGAAGTGCAGCTCCCACTGAACTTCCATGCCCACTCTAGCTGTAGCTCTGCAAATCTCATAGACAGTAGCACAGTAGCATAGCAGTCACATCTATGTCCCCTCTCCCCTCAGTAAAGGACCTCAGGCTCTGTTTTGTAATTGGCCAGGAGGGGAGATGCGACTGCAGCACTAAGGTCTATGAGACCTGCAACACTACAGCCAGAGCAGACAGCGAATTTCAGCAGAAGCAGGACATCCACCCAACGTGTATACTGATGATTTGTGGGGAAAAGGAGGAAGATCGAATTATACCAGGTGGCTTTACAGCAAAGTCACTCAACAACTTACTGAATTGCAATAAAATTATCGTGCTAGGCGTTTGGCTGTAATTCTTGATAGAACAATTTTGATTGTTGCCAAAAAAAGCAAATGTTCATCACTGCATAAGGTATATAATGGAATGATAAAAGTAGCAGCTTTTGAAAACATGTAAAAAAAGAAATGCTATAGAAAATGATAATAGAGCAGTGTTAGTAGCCTGTTTAATGTTTTTGATTGTGATAATACAATTGTTAAGGTATACCTCTACTACAAAGAAAAAGATATACGTTAAATTTCATACCTCACTTGAAAGTAGGATGGGCATCCTATATTTTAATTGTTAAATTTGATCATATATGGTGATAAACAAATCAACTTAAAAATCAAGCAAAGAGGTCAACAGCAATTCTTATACTTTCCTTAATATAAGCATGCATACTTGATGGATTGGATTAATGAATAGTGGGATTCTCAACAAATCAGGCAGATCTGTATGCATATTTCCATGTAAATCAAAATGAGAAAATCTGCAGTCCTTATTTTTTTTTTTAAATTGCTCTAACCATAACTTTTTCTGTGTTTTCTCTTAAGGGACAGCAACTGTAATTTTCTGAATGTCACAGGTTTAAATGATAGGATGTATCCTGCTTTTCGCTTATGTAACAATTACTGGAGCAGACAGGTTAGAATAAAAAATGGACATTGTTTTTAAGCTTCATAAGATTTATTGTTTTCTTTTTCTTAACATTGCTCTTTTTTTTACTTAGGAAACTATAGTTGTCTGCCAAGTGTTGTTGTACCTACTGCTTAGTGGCTATTTATTGTCTGTCAATAGTGTATTATTTTACTTATTAAAATTACAAAAACATAAAAAGGTTCTTAGAGTCATAGTCACAGACACATAACATTTAAGTAAAAACACAAAAATAGTAACTTTAAAACTACAAAATACTACATTTGTGCACAGCTCTTAGATGTAGGAAACCTATACATGACTATGTCCCACATCAGCTAGGTCTCACATGTTCCACATCAAAACCAAACTTCCAAACTGCTTAAAAAACCAAGAAAATGAGTCAATGTTTATATCTTTCACTATAGCGGGTACTTTATTTGTTTATTTGTTATGGTTTAGTACATATTAATGCACACTTAAAATTTCTATTTCCATTCCCCAAACACATCAAAGTAGTGTACTCATAATCTGCTCCTTCAGCATTTTCAAATGCACTCCTTTTTACCCCAAAACATGCTGCCTAAGCATACTAATTAGGGTTGTAACTGACATGCAAATCTCAGTTTTTAAAGTAAACTTTCAATGCAGCTGTAAAATGTCTTCCTTATTGATGACTTAGGGGGTTATTCACAAAGCTGCCGAGTGAATAACCGACCTGAAGTGAAATGAGCCGAACGCTGTTCGGCTATTCACTTCAGGCTTGTACAGCTGATTTCAGCCGTACACCAACTGAAATCAGCCGCGCATCGGCTTGCTGCGGCTGGGTTCTGGCCGACCCGAAGTGTAGAAGGAGTTTGACTCAGCCGATCCAACAACTGGATCGGCTGAGCCGAACCTCCGGCAGGCTACTCACTGCTGTTCGGCCTATTCTCATAGATGCCGAACAGCAGTGAGTGAATAGCTGAATGCCGCCGGCTTGGCTATTCTGCTCGGTAGCTCTTTGGTGCCAAGCAGAATAGAAAACCAGTTAAAAAAAGTAGAAAAGAAAAACCTCAGCATAGGAATGCATTGCTAGATTCCTATTGGCTATTTCACTTTGCAATAGCCAATAGCAAGCTGGCTATTGCACCCGCCCTCTGCTGCTGTAAATCACTAGAAGGGGACCTGATGGAGAACTTCAGGTCCCTTCTGCTGATTGACAGCAGCAGTGGGCGGTTGCAATAGCTGGTTTGCTATTGGCTATTGCAAAGTGAAATAGCTATGCATTCCTATGCTGGGTTTTTTTTTTTCTGACTGACGGCGACCGGCGGCCCCATGTCAGAAAAAAAAACAGAGCAGGGAAAGGTTTACTCCGCTCGATCGAGCAGCGTAAAACTTTCTGGGAGAAAGTGTTTCTCTCCTGGGCGGCCGGGAGCCGCTATCTAATAGTGGGTGACTCCCGGAGCGTCCGGGAAAGTAATGACAGATCGGCGTCCCTGTTTACCTGGTAACCAGGGACGCTGATCTGTCTCTGCAAGTGGCCGGAGCCAGCCATGAGATGATGGCTGGCTCAGATTTGCCCTTCACCTTCTTCGACTCGACTGAGCCGCCCCATATGCCTTCGACCTCCATATGCCTTCGACTCGACTGAGCTGCTCGGCCAACTTCGGGAGCTGTACGGGCTATAGTGAATAGCCCGTACAGCAGCCCTTCGGTTCTACTGAACCGAAGGGGTCCTGGGGCCGAAGATAGCTGAAGGATCAGCCGAAGCTACGGCTAGATCCTTCGGCAGCTTTGTGAATAACCCCCTTAATGTTAACATTGCTTGCTTTGTTACTTTCAGCCCATTATATCATACATTACAGCCTAACGGTTTATGCCCATACTGTCATATGTAGTAGTTTCCCTATACAGATATTACTATCTTTACAAGTGATCTTTTGATGACCGTTGTTCCTTTCATTGGGTTTACTTCTTTTAATTGTGTTTTAGAATGCAAACTTGAAGAACCTCAAAGATATTGAGCATTTGTTGTTGGGCATGTGTTCACAAATAGCAGAAAAAGAAGACCACATTATGGTGTCAGACCTAAAAGGTAAATTTCAAAATGTAATAACAGAGAGCAAAGTACAATATCTGTAGCAACTAATCAAAAGCCAGGCTGTAATGGTCTGATTTTCATTAAGTGAACTGTAATAGATAACGAGTTACTGCATTTGTACTTTAATTTTTTTTAACTTGAATCTTTTTTATATTGATTACTTTTTACTCCCACATACAGAACAATATTTCGTTCAACTATTAAGAGCATTATTTAATAAGGAATTGTAAGATGCTATGAGTATGTGCAGTAATTATGGGTAACCAATGTAAAAAAAGGGATTTTATTGTTAATCCCCCACCTGAGATCACGAACAACTACTTGGGAAAAGTAAATAAGCCAGGTTGCTTTAATGCATTGAAAGAAATATTCAGTTAACAGCAGATAAGTAAAATATAAATCAGATAACATCAACAAATTATAGATTTTTAATCATTATATTGTTTTAGTGCTAAGAATTCAATTTGTTTAGCACTGACCAACTAAAAAGTTTATGCATTTCATTACAGACTACTGGTATGGGCAGATGCTATATTCCCGAATAGATTTGTTAGCTGCAAGTATTCAACGTGGAAGAGACATGGGGCTACCTGGCTATAACAAAGTCAGAAGTCACTATGAATTGCCACCTATGACGTGGGACAACATCAGCAACTCTGAAATAAGACATAAGGTTTGTCTTTTTTTTTTAGGTGGCCACTGCAATAAAGGTCCAATTAATGTAGAAGTGTTATATAGAAATACACACTCACACATATTTAATGGTCCTTAAATGCATGAAAAATACCAGAAATTCTTAGAGAGGATTTCAGTAAATTTCCATATCTGAAAAATAATGTAGTCCCAGTAATTTTCATAATTCACATGGATTCATAATTATGAACATGTCAAATAGAGCAGGACATCAGGTACAGCTGGATGTGTACTGTAAAATGAAGGCTCTCCAGAAAATAAAACATTTATATTTTTACTTCTGAGATACAAAAAAAATGTTTTATAGCTTGTAACAAGTTCATTATCTGAACACAAGGCCAGACAACCGACATGCATGCATACTAATTGACATTTCTGACATGCACCCATGTTTTGATCCATCTACATGGAATTCATATATTCTCCCTCTGTCTTAGTAGGTTTATGCAGACCTCAGGCTTCTAAAAACAATGTACATTTTAGATGATGCACATTAGGAAATTAATATGTGAAATGAAAGATAACCATTTATGAACATATTTGATTATATAACATGTTTGCAGTATCAAGCACTAACCTTTTTAATTTCTATAGCTTTCAGCTCTGTATGACAATGACATTGAAAAGCTGGAGCTTATACCTGGTGCAATGCTGGAGAATAAAGGAGACGCTGGCAGCATCAAATCAAAAATCATTCTGAAACAATTTTACCGTCTAAGAGATGGGGACAGATTTTGGTTTGAAAACACAAAAAATGGGTATGTGATAGTCCTTGGAGATGTGTGGTAAATGAATATGGAGGAAAGGATTAGCATTATTTCACCAATGTTCAGGATTGACATTGTGGGGGTGATTTACTAACCTAAACACACGCACGCACCAGGTGCATGTGCATTTTTACACAGCAAAACGTATTTATAGTGTCTCTCATATGTAAATTATTAAAGCTTTGGTATTACTTTGGTTAAGTAAAAATGCAATGGTTACGGTATATCTGTAAAAAATAAATCAAGGAAACTGGACGTTGAAGACGTTTCCCTGGTCATCCAACCAGCTTTCCCAATTCAGAATGACTTGCACAATATTATTAGATATACATGTAAGTGTGTTCATTTTAAAACAAATATGTAAGCTATTTTACATTTTTAAACTAAAATGTTGCCTATGAACAGGTATCTAAGGTGTATATTTTAAAATGTAACTTTACAACCATATTCTGTACACCATGGGTCTTGACCCAAGACACCCCTGTTCACACCAGTGCAGTCCGTTCCAGACCAGACCAGAAATATTCTGCATGTCTCATTTTGTCTGGTCTGGAATGAACTGGAACTGCGGCAGGTTCACACCATATCTGGTCCGGAAAATGGTGTGAACCTGCCCTTAAACTTTAAGGAGCAGCATCCATTGTAAATGATTTAATTAGCAAATTAAATAGCTTTAAACATTTGACTTTAATATCACTTTAGATCAATATTAGAATGCAAAAATATAGTGTTCAAAACGTATACTAAATAGTGGGTAAAACACACTGGCCTGATGTTTCGTAGGTTCATATTCAGAGCCATTCAAGGGATGTTATCCAGCCCTTAAGGTATTTAGTGAACATGGCAATCAGGAGCAGAGCACATATGCTAAAATGAGTATAATTTAAAGCTTTTGTCTGTGTGATTCTATTTAGAATGTACATATATGACTGGAGTGCCTCTTTAAGTGACCTGCAGTTCTGTCACTCTGTGCATGTTATGACGTTTTGCTATGTAGATGACTGTAGATGTATATGACTGATAATGTGTGATTTGTGGGAAAATGTACAAATGTATTTTTATATAGTCTCTTTACAGCAGAAGAAGTAGCCGAGATACATAAAATGACATTCCATGATGTGCTTGTAGCTGCTACAAAAACAAAGGATGATGATAATGCACTTCAAAAAAATGTTTTTGTTTGGAAAACAGGTGAGTTGTTCTCTTTTTCTGTCTTTTTAAGCACAATAAAAAGGGAAAACCTCTAGTAATATAAGAACTTTAACAAAAACATGTATATATGTCTAATTTTTACAACATTTTTAGAATTTCAGTTTACATTTTTTTTAACTGTTGCTATTTTATTGTATTAGTTTTAATGAATTACTGTTATACTTGTCTTATCTTCTTGCAATATTAATACATTTTATATGCTACTCCTAATATTACTATCCAAAGGAAAGTCTACAACTCCAATTACATTTTTAGTTTGCCATGTGCACAATAGGTTGCTGACCAAACATTTACAATGCAGACTGAAGCTGTCCCATGAAATGTCTAGGCCTGACGTTTTGTGGCATGTTGCATCAAAAAGAGCCTGAGAGTTTCTGCCAAAACTGAATAAATCAGACAAAGGGCATCTGCCATCTAAGGGCACTCTAGAAATCTCATTGGTTGCAATAAATGATGGCATATTTTGTATTTCTTCTCTTGATTGGGTTTAATCTTTAAAAAAAATCACATTGAATAAGATGCATTAACTACTTTTGTATACCTAGAAAGTTCTAAACAAAAATGCCTTTTTCATTCCTAGATGATCCATGCCCACAGCCTACACAACTTAAATCTGACAATCTGGAAAAATGCGTGCCCGTTATATTCACAAATTACTTTGAAGGAAGTGCAGTTGGATTTGCCTTTACACTTGTATTTCTCGCCACTTTTCCTGTTGGTATGAAATATTTTCATATTTTATCCTACATTTCATATTAATTATGTAAATTGTCAAGTATCTGTTTACGGTTCTCAATGCCCTGTTCTAGTTGTGGGTATTTGGTGTGCTATATATGCCCAAAAAAATGTTGTTAAAGTACACAGGACAAACATAGCATACCCTGTGCCTCTTTCCCTCCTTGTGCCCCCCCCCCCCATCTCACCTACTGCCAATTCCAAGCTGTCAAATTGACAGCTGAGACTTACTGGGTAATACATTAGCTGGCTGTAGCCATTGCTATAAAACAAACATTTTTGAACAGTGTTTAAATGTGTAAATCAGGAATACAAAGTCATTATACTGTTACTTTGTTATTTAGCTGTCATTTACAGTAAATAGAGATCAAATAGTTACATCTGATCTGTACATGATGTCAGTTAAAACAACCTTACAAGGTTGTTTAAATACATTTGTTTTCCTATTAAACCATTTATAAAGTCTCAGTTAACGCTAATCAGCTCTAATTAGCTTCCTCCTCCTCTTCTTACATATTATTTTTCTATTTTTAAACTATTAATATTTAAACGTATTTGTTTTTATTCATTTTGTTTGGTAGCTTTTTGAGTCACATTAAAAATGCACGAAATTTAAAAAAAACACAGTTTGTTTGTAAATAATTTTACATTGCTTTGTATTAGAAACATAACTTTAGTGCCAATATAAATGAAACTAATTATAGAATACCATGTATACTTTATTTTATCTACAATAACACAATTCTTTTTAAAACTAACAATAATCAAAGTAAAAAATGCCCATAGTGGAAATCTATAAATTGTTCTGATCTACAAGTGTGGGAGCTGAACTGGTTAATACAATAACCCAGTTTGCAAAGTTAGTTGCAAATTGTCAGCGGGACCATATAGTAGATTTTACAAGTTCCTGAACATATCTTAGGCAATTACCAAATTCATCTTCCTCTCCTGCTTTCCAAAGCTAACTGCTGTTTGGTGAGCCCCCACCCCTATACAAGAAATGGACCAGTGGTAAGGTAGGAAGAGAGGCTGAGCTTGGCAATAGAGTTTCCAGGGTCTCCAGGCTGCCATAATACTGAAAACATTATGTTCAGACATCTGTACCTGCAATGAAGCCCCTTCTGACAGTTTTTTGACATTTGTTTAGCAATGATTTACTTCAACTGTTTTGACATTTATTTTATTTTTAAACAATTTCTTATTTTTTTTATGGAAAAAGACAGACATTTTTACATCATTTATATATTTGCAGTGAGCTTACTTATTGCAGTAGCGGTTGCACAATGCCGCAAGAGATCCTATATTCGGATGCAGAAAGTGAACAACAGACCCCCTGTCAGTATTGAGAGCAATCCCAAAGGATTTCAAGGTATTCCAAACTTTACAAATTTTTGTTTTAGCATGTCTGTCTTTGTATTAGCAAGCAAGTATCGACCATGCAAATACCTGTGATTCATTAACAAAAATCCCTATAGGCTTAAGGGCCAATATATCAAAAACAAGTTACATGCATTATGTGAAAGAGATGCTAATATTTTTTCACAATTAAGCACACATAATTTTCTAAAAAACTGTTTGTGTCATGAACATGACCACATATTCACTTTGTATACAAGTGGACATCCTCTACTCCTTTAGTAAACCAACTGGATTGGGTTAGATTTCCAAAACTGGAGGAAAGGAAAGTTAAACCTAAACATGAAACATAAAAAAGAAAAACTGAGCTCTATGGGCAACAAAATCAGTTCCTCATACATACACTTTCATACAGGAGATCAGTTATCACTGCAGTTCTGATTTTATACACTGGGCTTCATTCATAAAAATGTCTAAGGAAACAGAACCTCAAACAGTCTGTGTTGCCCCGTAGCAGCCAGGTATAATCCCCCTCGTCAGGGGAGATGTAAATAAAAAAAATATTGATGGCAGTGGGACATTACAGACTGCTTAAGACAACTCCTGGTTTTGGCACACAACTGATCTTGAACTGTAGAAAAGAAAAAAATTATAATTAAAAAATGGAGCTGTACCAGAAAGTACCCAATAATCCGAAATTAATTCTAATTTGCTTCTGTAGGCAACTGCTATAATTTTGCCATTGCCCTCTTCCCCAGTTAGATTCGTACTGTGAAAAGTCGTATTCAAGCTTTTATTGGCTGTCTCTGGAAAAACTCTATTTCAATAACTTAGGCCAGCTTAACATGGGAACATAATGCATTTGCTAAAATTTCCACTATTTTACACAATAAGAAATCATAAAAAGATTTTATATTTATTTTCTTGTTTAAATCTGTCCTAGCCACTGAATGGTGTGGACCTGATGAGCCATTACAACCTGTTTTAATTGAGCTGCATCCAGATCAAGTTATTAAAGCTGTAGCTGCTAATAAATCTGACACCAGAACAATTAACTTGAAAGCCCAGCAAGATGTGAAGGTTACTCACTCTAACAATGCCGGAAGTAAAACTGTTGGAATCAAAATCCCCAAAGAGTATGACCTGGTAAGAATTCAGATCTATTGTAGATGGAATCCATCTTTGGAATTGTATTCTTCCTTTGTATCCAATCTTTTTGAACCATTAAACCATAGACAGAAGAACACATTCTAAATGCCTTTTGTATATACAATGACACAGCATAATAGGAAAAAAGGTTCTAATGGAATAATTAGGATTTTTGTTCTTATGTAAATTAACATTATAAACTATAAACATGAATTTGAAAGAAGAATCGTTCTGTGAACAACTCAACAGTGCAACATTCTGTGAGTAGTTCTATTCCTTCTTATTAAAAAAAATCATCAGTACAATAATTTTGGATAGTATAGGTAGGTGGATTCACCCACTGGCTGTTTGTCTCTTCAAAGCTCTAGTGCTGAGCTTGGCTTCTGTAGTTTATGTCTTCATTCTCTCCCACTTTTTCATAGCTAGATTTTTCCATTTGTTTATTCTATATTATGGACAAAACATTAAGGGGTTTATTTACTAAAGGCAAATAGGCTGTTCACTTTGCAAGGGAATTTTCACCAAGCTTAGTGAATGGGGTGAAGCTTTGCTGACTTCCATCATCCAATCATATGCAAGCAAAACATTTTTTTTAATTTTCCTTGCACGTGATTGGGTATTCTTTGTAAAGTGATAATTCCCTTTCAAAATGAACATCCTATTTGCCTTTAGAAAACCAACCCCTAAGGGAGGTTGGTACTATTGTTTCACTTTGTAGTGGTCTGGTTCTTGGGAAGTACTAGAAGTTTGGGTGTTCATATCTCAGCAAGGGATGTTTTAAAACATCCTATTATGTGATTTAATCTTCCAGGAACATAATACTAAAATATCAGTTTTGGATAGACTTGACCTTAAAGAGAACCAACCACAATCATGTAAGAATTGAAATAACTAATCTTAAACAATTGGAATTGTGCAGACTTGTTGTTTGCGCATATTTTACTTGTGCTGCACGTAGCTCTTAGAACTTAAAAGTCACAGCTGAGGTGTCCACTGAGGTTTGACTGTTGCTACACTTTTAACCATCTGACCAAACATTGACAGCAAATGCTGTCTCTCAGCTAGTGATTGTGCATAGCCGTCTCAAGTTTATTGGGCACTTTATTAAACAATAAAGGTGATAGGAGTGCATCTACTGATCCAACAATGATGTAGATTTTGATTATGCTTCAACTCTAATTCACAACTCATAGATCATATTGCACACATATGTACATATGTTTTTTGCCTGTATTCTATTTATTCCCATTTGTCACTTTGTGAACTAGGTACTCTTTTTTAACAATAAAGAAGAGCAAGCTTCCTTCCTCGACAAACTTAAAGAATTTTTAGATGAAAGTGGAATTTCATCATCTTTCACTTCAATGAGGGAAAAATACATTTTGAAAGAATCAGTTTCAAAGAAATGGAGACAAGACATGCTGGAAACATTTTTCAGACATTCACTTTCCCATGTAAGTCCTCTGCACATAGCTGTCATTGTTTCAAACTGACAGTATAAATGTAAAACGTATCCTGTAACAGATGTGAGTGAGCACGTTTCATTAGTGAGAAATGTATTAACTTTTCTCAGGAAAATTAACTTTTTTATGTTTTGGATCTTATAAAATTAACCCTTTGTTTTCCTGGGTGCCAAGAGCCCTGTTTTAAGATAGTAAATTCTATCTTAAAACACGGTGGGAATGTAATTGCAGGTGGTTCTTTATCTGGTCTACAGATTAAAACAATAGTGTAGTGATGCAGCAATCATTGTGTTCAGAAAGCGGTACAGCTGTGTGGGTGCCCGCATGAAGTTAATGCTAGGCAGGGCCTAATAGAGAAGTACTAACTTTGGAAACATGAAGTGGCAGAATAAGTCTGGAGAAACACTATGTGGGTTATTCACTATGGAGCCGAGTGAATAATCGAGCTGAAATGAACGGAGCCAAACGCCATTTGGCTATTCACTTCAGCCGAACACAGCTCATTTCAGCCCTAGATCGGCTGCCTTCAGCTCCCTTCGATTCAGCCGAACATGCTCAACATGTTTGGCTGAGCCGAGGTGAAGAACCCGTTCAGCTGATCCAACATCTGAACCTCTGGCAGTTCACTCACTGCTGTTCGCCCTTATTCTCATAGGGGCCGAATGGCAGTAAGTGAATGGCTGAATGCCGTGAGCGGCACTTGGCTCAGTTATTCTGCTTGCTACCTCCGAGGTAGTGAGCAGAATAAAAAATGTAAACAAAAGGAAAAAAACTGTGTGGGGTCCCCCTCCTGATCCATACCAGACCTAAAGGGAGGGACCCCAAGTTAAAAATGAAAAAAGGGTGTGGGGTTCCCCCCAAAAGTCATACCAGGCCCTTAAGGGGGAACTCCACCTCCAAGAATGAGGGGGGAAATATGGGGTCCCCCTAAAATTCCCAAGCACAGGCCTTTCAGGGTAGGAAAAAGAGGGGGACAAGTGAGCAGACCCTCTTCCCTGCGCCATACTAGGACACATGCCCTCTGCATTAGGAGGGTGCCTTTCCAGGGGTCCCCCTGGAAAAGCACCTTGTCCCCATCCCGATGAGGACAAGGGCCTCTTCCGCCATAACCCTGACCCGGTGGTTGTGGGGGTGTGCGGGCATTGGTCTTATTTGCATGGGGTAACCCCTTCAGTAAAGGAGCACCCAAATGCAGCCCCCCTTGTGAATGAGTAAGAGGTACTTGTACCCTACTCATTCACTAAAGGGTTAAAATAAAAAGTATTTTTATTATTATTTTTACAAGTCCTTTAATCAAAAATAAAAAGCCAAAAAATTTTAAAAAATGAATCCACCAACATAATCCAAAAGTCAACCACAATGTACAATATTATCCACAATGACGCAGACTAGTCAAAATAAAATAAACCTGGCGCTCGCCGACCAGTCCACACCCGATGAACTGCTTCCGCAGAATAAAAGTTTGACAGAAGCCTGTAAAACATAAACAGATAGAGGGAGCTAGCGGTGACATCACCACTGGATCCACCAGTGTGTTGACCATTTTGCCGACATCTGTCATTTCGCTGTGTTGCAAGTGATCGCAACATGAAAACAACTAGGCGGAGTCGGCCGTGATGTAACGGCTGGCTCCACCCATTTGTTGTCATACAATAACAGGCTACTGTCCTCAAATGGATCAAGAGGGGGACCTTGCGCCATTTTAAAAAAATGTATTTACATTTGCAGGGAGAACGGTCTGCTTCGAAAGACCGCTCTCCCTGCTTTGGCTGTGACTTCAGCTCAGCCAAGCCGAAGCATATTTATTGTGAATAGCCCATACAGCAGTCCTTCAGTTCGGCTGAACCCAAGGGCTCCAGCGGCCAAAGTGAGCAGAAGGATTAGCCGGAGCTACGGCTATATCCTTCTGCTCCTTCGTAAATAACCCTTTATCTCCCCAACTATTGTGATGATGATTCCATCAGGGTAACTGGTGCTTTAGTAAGTTTTCATTTGCCGTAATATTTTAATTGAGATCTGTTTATGGAAATCATGTAATTCAATAATCCGGGCAATTCTGAATCATGCATTGCTTTAGTAGAGCCTGTTCACCTTGCAAAGTGATTTTTTAACTTTGGAAGGGAATTTTCACTTACCTGAATGTGGCAAAAATTTGCATCTCAAAGAATACCCAATTACATGCATGTAAAATAAAAACAAATTTAAAAAAAAGGAATTTCCCTTGCACATGATTAGATATGTGAAGTTAAGAGAGCTTCACCTAATTCATTTAATCCACTAAGCTAGGTGTATATTCCTTTGAAAAGTCAAAATCTGCTTTAGTAAATCAACCCCTGACTTTTAGTGGGCCTTTAAATAATCTTCATATTTTGTTTTCATTGGATGGGACATTTTGACATTGAAATAAAAACACTTGATGATGGCTAATTTGCAATCATATAGGTTCTGGATATAAGTAAGGCAAATGCAGGAGTAATACACAAGAAGGAGATTAAAGAAGCTCTGCAATGTGAGCTGTCAAGAGAAGAATTTGCAGAATTCCTAGGACTTGATCCAAATGCTCATTTTGTGGAGTCAATGTTCTGTGTGGCTGACAAAGACTGCAATGGATATCTATCATTTAAAGAATTTTGTTACATATTGGCCAATTTATTAACAGGTAACTTACCTTTCTTTCTTTCCCTTTTCTCCCTTATGCTTTCTGTTTGCATTATTTATGTTTCCTAATTATTTTATGACATTATTTATTTACTTATTGACTTACATAATCAGGTCTAATGCTTAGTTTACTATGTTTACTAAATAAATAAGTAAATAATATTTTGCCTCAAACTGATGTCTGTAACTATTGTGTATTTGATTGCATTTTTGTATCCTTAATTTAGGTTCTGTTGAAAGAAAACTAAAGTTCATATTTTCAATGCATGACATTAATGGAAATGGGCTGCTTACAAAGGAAGAGTTTGCTGGACTGCTTAGGTATGTACTTATATGATCTGTTTCCTGACCATTAAGGATAATTTTATAAAAACTGAGTATTAGGGCGATTTTTCAACTTTGTTACACAATATAGCAGGAACCGTGATATATTTTATGAGATGGAATAGCCAACTGATTTTGTTGGTTTTCTTGATCAAAGTTTGAAATGTACAAACTTGTGGTGAAACATATTAAAGTCTATATTGGCCATGTTATTGAATTCTGGCCATTTGTAGGGCCAATAAGCAAACTGTTGTTAAACAACAGACATGGTAAGTCAGACACTGCCATGGGGGACATGTACCAATACCAAAATTAAAAATAAATATATTTTTTTTAAAAAGCTCTCCCTGCATAGACTCACCAGCTCTCTCCAACACACAATGGCAATATGACTTCTCAACTCTTTATAGATAGGGGTTCGGTTATCCATTCCTTTACATTTTTGGTTTTCGTGATTAAGCTAACCAGGGGAAAAGGATATGCACTGCATTTATAGATAGTTCCTTATTTCTGGTGGTGAACCTGCATGCAAAAATAATTTTATTAAAATAATCCTTGCACGTGATTGGGTATTATTTACAAAGAGAATGTTCAATTTGTTCTACTTAATTCACTAAAATAAGTAAATCACTTGCACAGTGAAAATGTACTTTGCAAGTGAATATGCTCGATTAATTTGGTATATGAGAGTCCCTGGGCTTTATTGATCAAAGGCACACAGGCCATTTGCTTTGTAAGGGAATTTTGCATTTGAATGGGTATTGTTCCTTAGCTTAGTAAATAAGGTTAAACTCTGCTGATTTCCATTATCCAATCATGTTCAAAAGAAAATACAGTTTTTTTCCTTGCATATGATTAGGTGATCTTTGCAAAGTGAATTTTCACCACATTCACTAAGCTAATGGAAAATTCCTTTGCAAAAGGAAGGAATTGTTGCCTTAATTAAATTAACCCCACTGTGCCTTCAGTGACTGTACTAGATCAGTGCTGTTTTTAAAGGATGCTAAATACATCTTGATAGAGGCACAATCTGATCTTAGTGGCAATTCTGTGAATTTGCTTATCCAGTGTAAGAAACCGTACTGTTTACCATAACTGAAAACTAAAACAAGGAGTGTGATTGGCTAATGGCTTCATATATTTTGCCTGCCCAAGCACTGCTTATGCATTTACTAATTTTGTTCCAGATTCCTATGACATGACTTGAATACTGCTATGTTTTGCAGGTCCTTCAGTCAGTTATCAAGCTTCCTTTCAAATGATCAAACAGAAAAAGCTATTGAGAATATTTTCAGCGAATCAGAGATCACATGGGAGGAATTCTATGCTGTTTTTAACCAACACTCAAATATATTGAATTCTGTCACACTTCACACACAAAGTAAGGCTTTCTGAAACTTTATAACCCAAGTATAGAATGTGTATTCCCTTCAATAATGTGTTATTAGGGGTGAAACAACAATCACAATAGTACCTGAACACACCCTGCTCTGTTTTAGGCCACTCACATTTCTTCTGCAGGGCAGTAGATGCAGGTAAACTCCAACACCCGTTCAAGCTCTCCCCACACATGTCCTGTAACAAAATATAGGATGCACCCTACTAACTTCCAAATGTATCAATATGGATGAGTGCTCACATTCCACCTAGTTCCATCTCTCTGGTGTGTTTTGCACCATAAGGAGTGTAATCATACAGTAACTCTATAATATTTGCTTAGTTTTGTTACAGAACAACAACAATATCCCTAGAGGCATGTCATTGACTCATGGGCTCTTGGTGAACTTTCAGTCTTCTTTATTTTGGTGTATCTATCATGTATGTGTGAATTACAATCATACATCTCAGATGATGCAGATTGCAGCTCAGTGTGGTCCCTACGATATATTCATATATCATAAAATATAATGGTATTTTATTTCTATTAAGTTATTGATTCGTAGCAATCAAATAATTTATTGTCCAAGGAAAAAAAATGTTTTGCCTAAGGTAAACAGTCAGCTTTTCCATTTCATTCTGCACTAGACTCATAAAGGGATAATTGGTGGCTTTGGGTAACAAGAGCAAATATATCTTCAGTCATTTTCAATCAAGAGAATTGTTTCTTACCCAAGTTGCCAAAAAGGGGACTAATAAGAAGACTAATTATTAATTTATGTCAAACAATGATGTAGCCATCTCTGCCATTGAAGACTGAGAAAAAGTAAAATGCTAAATAATGGAAGCCATTTCCTGCCTTGATCATTGCCGTGTTTTATCTGCAGGTTTTATTAACTAACATATAGCACAAATCTATTTATTTTAATGCAGTACTATTTTATTGTTCAATATAAACCTTTTTGTTTTCTTGAAGGTTCAATACCTCCTCTTAGCACCAAGAAACAGATTAACACCAGAGTGTCATTCATAGGCAGAAAAAATGATGATAAAGGCAAAAGGTAATATAACATCTCCATGGGTTATCAAGTTACATGTAGGACCAGGAAAATTAAGCAGTTCATGTTATCAGGTGTATATACTGATTTTTCATACATGCAGTTTGCAGCTCATCGGTTCCATGGTCCTGTAAAGTACAACAACCAGTCCCTAGCCTTCAGCACTTCTTTTTAAAGCTTTCTGCAGCCTCATACAATATTTATATAGTTTCTGATTTAGGAATGCTTCAAGCAGATGCCATGTAAAAATATTATCAATTGGGAAAAGGCTTTTTCATGACAGAACTAAACCTGGCAAAAGTTATGCCATAATAGTCATTTTCATAAAACAGGTTGATTTTAACAATTGTATAAATTGTAAATGGCCAGTAAAAATATTCACTCTAAACCCAGATAAAGGTCTAAAAAACAAAACAAAACAAAAGCACCTTTTTTCAAAAGGTTAGGCAACTAAATAATAACTATTTGTTCTTTACAGTAATATTGAAAATGATAACCATATCCTGGAGTCATATGGGCAGGAACTTCGAAAAAGAGCTGGCGGAAGGTAACTAGTAAAGGCATATGGGGGCATTTTTCTTGAATATAAATTATAACAATATTTTAATTTCTTTATGGTGGATCTTTCTAATCTTTGCAAACCAGGAATAATTGCAACCTGAATGAACCAAATGTATACACCACAGCAAGAAGAGAAAACTATGAGTCAAGCAAAGTTCATCAAAAGATACAGCAGTTTAAACGTTTGATGGAAAATTACAGGCGCCATATCGTATGCTTTGTAATATTCTATGGAATATCAGCTGGAGTGTTTACTGAAAGAGCCTATTGTGAGTCACTATTCTTGATATATAATTTTATTTGGATAAAATATTTTCTGGAAAATTAAGGGCTACTTAGGGGATATTGATGTAGTAAAATAGTTTGAACAGAAATTCTGGTAATCATAAGAACTGAACTCTGAGCTGTTATATCCAGTGAAGCAAATTATGAAAAACATTAAAATTAGAGACCATTTACCTCACTCCACATATGTGAGGTACATTAAAAAATTATCGATTAACCACCAGTTTCTACAATGTTGCCCAAGTTATATTACCCCTTACCCCTTTTCTGGGCAACACTGGGCTTAATGCAATCTTCTAAGTTCTTTCTCGTGACCAGTCTATGAACTTTCATTTTAAGGGCCTGTTTCAATGGGCTTTTTTTGTGTCTGACGGGTTTTGCATTGCCTTACAAGTCTAAGGGAATGTAAAACATGGTTAAAGTAGGTCAAAGTCAGAAGGAGGTCAACTGCAGGTTACCGTATTTTTCCGTCTATAAGACGCCCCCATGTATAAGACGCCCCCAACTTTTCTTACCCAAAATTCAGAAATCAATATTTTAAATGATATTATGCATCACACTTACCTCTGAGCCAATCACTTTATTCAGCCTCTGTTGCATCAATGGTTTCTGGCAAGAAATCCAAGTCTTAAGCCTCTGCTCCAAGTTGGGCTATTTTGCTGGTTTTCCTCCTAGGCCTTCTTCTTTTTGGGCATCTTAAGGAGTTGCTCTTCCTGTTTTCTCCACTGTGTGTTCATACACTCAGTGGGAGGAGGTCCAAATTGTCTCTCTGCAGCTCTATTTCCATGCTCTTTTGCATAAGTGATTGCATCCAGTTTAAATTTTGCAGAGTAAGCCAGCCGCTTTACAGGTTGTTTTTCATTGTCTGACATTTTTGTGGTCACAGAATGCTCCGACATTATGGCTCTGGGCACTGTCAATACACTCTCCCCAGCAACAGCTGACGTCAGGTACAAAAGATTTATGATTGGAGGAGAACTTTTATCTTGTCTCTGCAATCCGAAGTTTCACTCGTGAGGCTAGTTTGCAGTGGTATCAGCACTTTCAGCAGTTTCGAAACTGCGGCCCCCGTGTATAAGACGCACCTCTATTTTTAGGTAAACATTTTTATGAAAAAGTAGTGTCTTATACATGAAAAAATACGGTAAATGCTCCTGTTAATTGTTTTTGAATGGTTTCAGAAGATTCTCAAACTGATGTCAAGCTGATGCCATTGAAAAAAAAGCTCAAAGCCCATTAAAACTAGTCCAGTCTCAGCCTAAGAATTGCATATATACCAGGTTCTTATTAGGGTCCTACTTCCGTTGTGAGTAAATCAAAGTTTAAATTGTTCAAGGCACAATAATCTAACACACAATTCAGTTTGGTAAATATTTTAACAATATGTGCATTACAATGACCATGCACATCCTTAAAAATGAGCAGTAGTAGATTTTATATTATTTTAGAGCCGTAGAGCTGTTGAATCTGTAGAACTAACATCATGCATTCTTGAGTCGCTAAACTTTGCTTTCTGTTTCATTTGAATTTGACCTGCTCTATAATGACTTACCAACTATTTTTATTAAATGTATCTGTGTTACAAGTGCCAATATTTTACTGATGTGTATAAAGTGCTACAATAGTTTTCTAAAGAGAGTCTATTAGAGGTATAGACAGGAACTCCCACAAGAACATTGACACATTTTCTCACCCCAAGAGATGTTTTTATTGGCCATGACTTCATAAGAATATAATGCACACTTCCTTATAGTGACTATTACAATATTTAAAAACATAAGTGCTTTTAAAAAGTTATCATATCTATGTTTTTGCATGCTACAGATTATGGCTTTGCCTCACCATCAACTGGAATTTCCCAGGTCACATACATTGGGCTTATTATGTCTCGTGGTTCAGCAGCTGGTATTTCTTTAATGTACTCTTACATTCTTTTAACAATGTGCCGAAACCTTATAACATTCCTGAGAGAGACCTTCTTGAACCGATACATTCCATTTGATGCCGCAGTAGACTTTCACCGTTTGATCGCCATGTGTGCACTTGTGCTTTCTCGTAAGTGAAAACAATAGGCAAAATGCTAATATACAATAACAAAAAATTCATATCTTGGCAGTCTTAAGTAGTATGACCCCAAATTACTAATAAAACTTTTTTTTCCTGTAGTTTTCCACACTCTTGGACATGTTATCAATGTCTACATCTTCTCAATTACACCTATTAATATCCTCAGCTGCGTCTTTCCCATGGTCTTCACTTATGATGGGTATGTACTACAATAGGGTTTGGTCGGAAAACAAAAATATTGAATTTGAGGATATTGGTAATAATGTATTGCTGATTGTGATGCAGGCAATTGCTTAGAAGTGAAGACTATGTCTGGCTGGCTGCTTGTAAAGCTGCCCAACAAGGCCAGTCCTATGTTTGGTGTTACTGGTTAGCACCAATCGGTTTGCTGCTCTTCCTTCAGTTGGCTGTAACATAATCTACTCTGTTTCTGAGTTTGTTAAAAGTATACTGAGGAGTCAGATGGTGAGATAAGAAACTTCTGTGTAATACACTATAAAATACATTTTCTGTTATATATATTATATTATATAATTTGCAATGGATTTTGATTAGTACATTTTTACTTTAATTATTATTTTAAGTGTTTAATGGACACAATCATTGTATACAGCAATACAGATGTCATAGCAGCCAAGCCTATGTTTATTTTAGGAAAATACAAAAGAGATATCACAGCTTATATTAATTGCTGCACTATTGCACTATTTTTTTTTTTTTGTAAAAGGCAGTGTATCACGGTATGTATATGTCACTGAAGAACAATGTGGACATTGACAATTTGATATATTTTGTCACACTATGCATCATATCTAGTAAAGTATAACCAACATTATAATTAATAGGCATAATGCTTTAATTTTAGGAAGACATTATACTTCTACAAATCCAATATGGCAATTTATATGATGTGTGAATTACAAATAATATGGTTAAATTATGATTACCTTAAATACATTTTGGAGGGATGATTATGATTGCAATACCATCTTAACAGGTTGTGATAACAGACAGTTCTTTAGCACCATTTTGTGTGCATTTGCAAAGACTATGGTGCTGAGAAGCAGGATGAGTGTATAATTAATAAAATGTCTGCATTGTAAATTATTTAACTTTTTTAATTAGGCTAATTAGGTTTTCCTTTTTTTTTACTTCTTCAGATCTGAACATCCAAAGAAATTCGTTTGGTGGGTTTTTGAGACTGTGCCAGGTAAGTTGTCAGCATGCTGCACCTTAATCACATGAAAGATAATAAGCGATATTACGATATTAAGATTATATTTACATTTCATATTCTTCAGAATTCCTGACTTGGCAGCGAAAAAATTTGTTATCCTATTAAATATATAAATAGACTCATGTCACTGGTCACTTATCTGCTGGGTTTAACATGACTGGTAACACGTACTATAGTATAAACATGTTAGGTAGCAGCAACTGGAATAGTAACATGTCTTTTTATTTAAATAAGCTTGCGTGTGCCTATCATCCATCATAATAGTTACACCAACAGATAGATTGCATCCATTCCTAAACCACTCCCAGTCCTACTGCCCTAGTGCTATCTACATCTTTGACAGCATCAGGGAACAGAGGAAGCACGTTCAAGCAGTTTCCAGTCAGGCTTTGCAATCACAGGACATATATTGCATTGAGTCACTGGGGTTGATTTACTAACCTTATAAACACACCACGAACATGTATACACCTCTGTAATGTGTTCCCTCCCAGCATGATCTATGGGTAGAATCTAAACACCTTTGTAGTGTGTACACACCCAGCAGGTGTGTTGTGCAAAGCCCTGCATGAATTTGCAAGGTGATCTTGTGTAAATTAGCTCTATGTTGTGTTGCTTGTGTTGATGAATGCAGGAATGTAAATGCATGAGCTAACCATTTTTGTCTAAACTGTGAAGCAGCATTATATATGCATCATGTGCATGATTTTTCCATATATGGCATTAGTGGAAATATGCTTTTAGAGACTTTTTGGTTGATAAATACGTTTTGCTGTGTAAAAATCACACGCACCTAGTGCGTGCGTGTGTTTAGGTTAGTAAATCACCCCCACTGTGTAATAGCTGTCAGTTTTCCAATGCTGATTGCTGGACAACTGGAGTGCGGACAGAAGTCAAACATGGTGTTATGTATTTATCACACTGTGTTAAATAAATATGTGTTATATGGCTGTTTATTGTTCAGTTGGTCATTATTGGGTGAATCTCTACTTTAATTTGAATTTTTTATTGTAGTATAAAATGTATGTACACAAAAAGATGAGCAAGATACATGCACATATGTGATAAACCGAAGACCCTGAGCTGCCAGGCAGGAGTGCTAACCACTATGCCTCTGTACTGCATAGAATTTGAAAAAAAAATATGTACTTACACTCACTGTCATTTAGAATCTGTATTCTGTCTGATATGCACTTTATATAAGATCCTTTACTCTCACTTTGTGAAAAAAAAGTCTTCGAACTTTGGTAGTTGATATACTGTATGAATTTACCCTATTAACCATATCTACTTATACATGCAGGCTTGACTGGGGTTCTTCTTCTAGCTGTTTTGGCTCTTATACATGTGTTTTCTACGCATCATTTTCGACGTGTCAGTTTCCGAGGGTTCTGGATAATGCATCATTTGTATGTTGTTCTCTTCATATTGGTAAGTAGCGCAAACAACTTTTAAATCACACAGATATTAATATATAAGTGAGCTCTTGGGATACAACCACATAAATAGTTCAGACACAATGAACATTATAATCTTTTGATGAAATCTCTGTAATACTATTGTTAATTTATCTTCAGCTTAAAGCAAAAGTAACTCACCTGCCCTTGCTCCCTCACTGGCACCTACAGCTTCACCCAGTCTTTTACCAAGTGTGGGACCTTCTGCTATCTTGATTGGCCTGGTCCAGAATGACGCAATTCCGGTACATGCATACAGGAGTTGATTCATTCTGGAGGTATGCCAAAAATGTACACTGATTTGAGTATGGGCAGGTCAGTGTACACTCTAAAGTAGATTGTTAAGAACCAGGTAAGTTTGCTGTATTGTAATTCAAGAATCACTGCGCTAGGTGTGAAAACTAAATAACTAAATAATTAGTTCGACCAGCCGCAACTATGTGTGTAAGTGAACTTATTATATCGCAAGTGAGTTGCGCTCGGTCTCGACAAATATAAATAAATTAAATATGTGTGCTCTATAGGACGTGAAGAAGTTACTAAGTTCAGATTCTACTGTGAAAAAATTATAAATCTCGGTAGTCACTACCTCGGTAATAATTGTGCAATACAACAATCAGGTGTGGGAAAAGGGTTTTCAATCACCAGCCGGTGTATTGATTAGGTGTTTCTGTGTACTAAGTGTACATGGTTTGTCCAAACAAACCTCTTAATGATGTGACAATCTATTCAAAGACACCAATTCAAATATAAATGACTCGGTGTCACAGATTGATCGTGTATAAGAAAAACAAAAACAAAAACAAATTCTAAAATCCCAATCTCTAAATCGTGACAAATTTTAAATATAGTGCGAACACTTAAATAATAGAAATTAAACAGTATGAAAAATTATCACATATACAGTGCTACTCCGTGCACTCTGATTCCTCTCAAAGACAAAGATTTATTTCTTTAAAATACATAGGGGTCTATTCACAAAGCTGCCGAAGGATCTGACTCACTAAGATCGATGCCGGTATTTTAGTTAAATTAACCCCGCATTTAATCTTTGTCTTTGAGAGGAATCAGAGTGCACGGAGAAGCACTGTATATGTGATAATTTTTCATACTGTTTAATTTCTATTATTTAAGTGTTTGCACTATATTTCAAATTTGTCACGATTTAGAGATTGGGATTTTAGAATTTGTTTTTCTTATACACGACCAATCTGTGACACCGAGTCATTTATATTTGAATTGGTGTCTTTGAATAGATTGTGACATCATTAAGAGGTTTGTTTGGACAAACCATGTACACTTAGTACACAGAAACACCTAATCAATACACCGGCTGGTGATTGAAAACCCTTTTCCCACACCTGATTGTTGTATTGCACAATTATTACCGAGGTAGTGACTACCGAGATTTATAATTTTTTCACAGTAGAATCTGAACTTAGTAACTTCTTCACGTCCTAGAGAGCACACATATTTAATTTATTTATATTTGTCGAGACCGAGCGCAACTCACTTGCGATATAATAAGTTTGCTGTATTGCAGAAGAGACACTGCAGTTTTCTTTGCAATAAAAAAAAGCCTGCTTGCTCACAATTTTTTATTTTTTCACTAACTATACGTGCACAATACTAGCTTTGTCTATAAAATGAGCAAGGGAGTAAAAGTATTATCAGAGTTGTCAGTTATCATATACTGTATGTGGGTTGATTTAATGACTTTCAATTATTTGGTAATGCTAGATTGCTTAACCAATATTATAGCTATTATCTTCTCTTGCTTCACTTGTTATTTTTTTCAGACTATCATCCATGGCAGTTTTGCACTGATCCAGTTACCACGCTTCTACTTATATTTGATTGTCCCAGCTATTATCTTTGCAGTCGACAAAATGATTAGTTTGAGCAGGAAGAAGATAGAGATTGAAGTTCTAGAAGTGAAGAAACATCCATCAGGTATGAAGTACAATCAACATTTCAAGTAAGCATTCCTGACAATAAAAAGGAACCCTCTGAACTTTACATTTAAGATAAATTTTTACACACTACAGCTGGACCTTTGCCAACAGAAGTATTTATATCACGGCCCAGTAGTGAACTTACTGTGGCTGCATTTGGGCCTTAACTGTGACCAATCCTGTGCAATTAGTTAGAGTTGGGGCTACACCTACGGTGGTGGATCCGTGTTTCTGAAGGCTTCCAATAACCACAGTTGAATCCATAAGCTCAAAAGTGAAAACATCATTGCAAGCAAGCATAGTCATATTTTCATGAAAACAGAGTTATTGTACTGAATTCTGATAAAGCATAAGGATTTTGAAGATGTGAATTGGGAAAAAATAGAGTAGAGGGAGGAGGGTGGTAGGAGCTGGGCAAAGAATGTGTTAAAGATCTCACTAGTGTCAGAAATAAATGAATACAAAGTGAGTGTAACACTGATTTACTAAAGAAGTTGAATGCCTTCAGTCAAAAATTGTGTGAATACTTATTTTATCCAATCAAGAGATAAGCATCTGCACAGGATTAGATATTCAAACTGAGTAGGTTTTCACTTTTCACGATTGGATAACTGAATTAAAATTGTACTTAATTTTTTAGGTGAAATTTCTCAACTCCTTTTGCAAACAAGTCAGAGTGGTCTGCACTGATATTGAGGGAAATAGTATATATGCACATGATAAACATTCAACAGCAAGCAGAAAAGTATATTCTCTTGGAATGCATTAAAAACCTAATGCTAGTACTTCTTGATAAAGGGTCATATTCCAAAAATTTAAACTCAAGTTACTCAAGCCTTGTAAAAAAAGGTTTGACACCCTAATAAAGGTGTGCACTGGATGCTATTTGTTTTTTCAGACTACATTAGACATGAGACCACTTTAACTCATATTAACTTTATATTTCTTTTTTTACGACATCTTTAACAAATTATTGACCCATCTCCTCCCACACTCAACCCTCTTCTCTTTTCCTTCTAAATTTACATTTCTATGCTCTTGCACTTGAATCAACCCTGAGATTCAATAATGCTAGCTTCCATTTACAAAGGCTCTCTAATTTGGATGTATAAACCTATGTATGATCATAAATTACATCCTATTATTCTTTTTTTTTTTTTTGCAATTGTCTAATAAAATGTATGTAAACTGAAACTGATGCATAAGGAATATTGTAATTCATAGACTGGCAGTTGCACCTCAAGCAACGGTATAATTTTAGAATGTGTGTACCATTTCCTATGCCTGTGTTCCATCCTGTTTTTATTCTCTTTCCAGGTGTGACATGCCTGAAGTTCCAGCGCCCAAGTGATTTTGACTATAAATCTGGTCAGTGGGTTAGGATCGCCTGTTTATCTCTTGGTACAGATGAGTACCATCCTTTCACACTGTCCTCTGCACCCCATGAGGATGTATTAAGCCTGCACATTAGGGCAGTAGGGCCCTGGACAACATGTCTAAGAGAGCTATATACGTCTCATAACACAGCAGAGGCAAAGTACCCAAAGGTAGGTAAAACTTTTGTAATTCTCTCATTTAGAAAAGACAAAAATGTTTTCATTCTTCTTTGCTGCTTTGATGATATTCAAATCCATTTTTACATTAAAACACTTTAATATATCGTATATATTTCTTTGATGCCTTTGAAAATATGCAACAGCTTTTCCTGGATGGGCCATTCGGCGAAGGACATCAGGAATGGAATATGTTTGACGTATCAGTTCTAGTTGGCGGAGGAATTGGAGTGACACCTTTTGCATCAATTCTCAAGGACTTGGTCTTTAAATCATCAGTCAATGCAAGGATCAACTGCAAGAAAGTATGTCTATAATATTATTATAATATGAATAATATTATTCTTAGCTAAAGGGCTTATTTGTTAAAAGGGTTGAATTAATTAAAAAAATTACAAAAGTGCAGTTGCTTTATTTTCTTTTGTTTTCCAAGAATCTTAATTGGGCACTGTGGACAACATCTACACGTTGGTTTTGTTTTCTTACAATGACAGAACTGCCCCTGCTTAAGCCACAGTAAACACCGGAAGCTCTGGCACTGTGGTCAATTCTTACATATGACCTTTTGATAAATGAAGAAATATGTTTTGAGCACAGCTAAACCGTTAAAGTGTATGCAAAGTCACAATGTTTTTAGACTGTGGATAGAATAAGGAAGGGTTGGAACCTCCTGTATTTTTTAATCGCTGTCTGTGTCCCTGCTGGGTAGATCCACCTTCACTATTTGTCCGGGTGACAATTGACTCTGGTATAGAATGTAATGGGTAATCCATAAGGTTTGAGTTGTCTTAAGAAAAGGGATAGAGGTGAAATCTTCCAACAGGCAAATATGTCCTAGAAAGGGATGTCCGCTCACTTTAGAAAGATCTCTTCTTACATGGCCTGTGGGGTCCCAGGGACAGGAAGTGAAGAAAAATCTCCTTGACACACAGAAACCAAAAAAGACCAAACAGGTCTTCCCTCTATCCTAAACTAAAAACTATTGGTTCTGCTAATTAACTCACACTAATCATTCTTGTAACACCAACACTAATATTCTAGACATCCCCAGATAGAGATCCCAAAATAGGGTAGTACAGTATATATCAAAATCCCCTTCCGGCCATGGCGAATGACTGATTCCAGCTATTGATGTTGTAACGTGAACATCACAGAGTTCACAATTGGATTCTATTTGCCCTACCCTGTAATTATCTCAACAGAAGAATTTATGGGACAAAGTCTCCACTCCAATGAGATAAGCACATTATTCTTAAACATCATATATGTTTGAATGTCTGCACACAAGATAACATATCAGCATTGCTAGAGGTTGTTATCTCGGGCCAATATATGAATCAGATACACGTGTAAAGGCTATACTAACTCTGATGTGGTTGATTGTGCATGAAAAGCACTGTACAATATAAAACTGCTTTGAATAATAAAAAAAAAGTTCAAAGTTTGCTAATGCTTGCATCTGTGAAAGATTATTGCTAATATTACCTTACTGATATTCCATTTAGGTTTATTTCATATGGGTGACACGCACCCAGAAGCAGTTTGAATGGCTGATAGACATCATCCGAGAGGTGGAACAGATTGATAAGAATGATCTGCTATCAGTTCATATATACATAACTCAGCTGACTGAAAAGTTTGATTTCCGCACAGCCATGCTGGTAAACAATCAATTTTATTTTCCTTTCTTCATAGTTACAAAAGCTGGACTGATCCATATATAAAATAGCGTACAATAAACTAATAAGCTTGAATGGTTTTATTTGTGTAGGTCAGGCAAACCCCTCAATTCCTTTAGGTCCTGGATTCACTTAATTTCAGCAATTAATGCCAGGATAACCTATGGTGTATAGGACTTTGTACATGTACATAGATAACTTGGTACCCATTATCTGGCCACTGTACTGTACATGTAGCACTTTTGTTGCTGGACCAGAGGAAGCGGAAATGTTAGGGCTAAAAATTACATGGATAAAAAGGGCTAAAAATGACATGCATTGCTTTGTACGTTAGTGGTCTAAATAATGATGGACACCCTGTGATCTAATGAAATTTGTTTTACATTTTTCTACATGTATGTAGCTTTTTAAAATGGGGGTTTGTTATATGTATCTATATAAATAAAATAAAAAAATTGTATTCTTATGTAAGATGTTTTTGTGTGCTTAAAATATGTACTTTTTGACTGAATGCTACAATAAAAAAAATCTGACTATAATTAGATTTTTGGATAGTTTGCATGAAGGGTTTCTAGCATTCCAGGATAAATTTAATTCATCCACCCATTACTTACTCATAATAAAGTGTAATAGTTTTTCCTTGAATACACACGACATTTAGGCTGGTTAACACATAAGACAGCCAAGTTTTTTTAAACAATTTACCATATATGTTAATGACAAATCAGCAAAAGCTTGATGCTGGAAGCTCAGGTTAAATTTCTGTTTTGTGGGGAAGAGTGAGAGAAGTGGCCTCGGGGGAACGCACATATTGGCTGACTTACATGGGCACATCTATCATCTTAACTGTTTCAGATACGACTGTTGATGTCCCAAATTAAAATGTCTGTCTGTCTATCTCTCTCTCTCTCTAATATAACTTACATTCTTAATATCCTAACATTTTAAATTGCAGTACATTTGTGAGAGACATTTTCAGAAAAATCAGAACCAAAGTTTGCTAACTGGGCTGCGATCTGTCACACACTTTGGAAGACCACCATTTGTGGGCTTTTTGAACTCCTTACAAGAAGTGCATCCTAAGGTATGTAAAATACTATCCAAGGCAATGAAGGTAAAAGAGATGTTTACATTTTTTTCCTGAAAAATCTCTAGGCTTTGGAAATGTTTTGGCAGAAGAGCTATGCTGTGCAAATCTGCATATTATGACATGACTCCACTCAGCCCCAGGTCCTTTAGTTTTGCCTTAAAGTAGATATAAACCCAATCGCTACATCTCATTTAATCTTTTACGTAGTAATTTAATTAACATGTGTGCCTGTTATACTCTTGCTTGAAGGCTTTGAGTAACTAACCCAGAACAGGTATGCAGATAGGGACTTCCCTCTTTAGGCTAGGTTCTCAAGTAGGTGATTTTTTGCGTGAATATAGCCGCACGATATTGCGCAACACACAGATTCCCATTGAAGTCAATAGGGCCTGTTCACACCTTTGCGTTGCATCGCGCAGCCAAATTTGCCTGTCGCGCAAAAAGGTGCAGGAGCTATTTTCAGGCGGTTGTCGCGCAGTTGTGGTCCCATAGACATTTTTATGCATTGAAAACCGTGCAATTTTCAAAGAAAAACACACAACTGCGCAAAAACAGGTCATTGGCTCAATCGCCTAGATGTGTACCTAGCCTTACTTTGATTTTCATGATCTACATACTTGTTCCAAATATAGCTATAATTGTTTTGTTATATACCCCATACACTACTTAAAAACTAACCAAAAAGTAAGCATAACAGCCCACCAACTAGCATTTTCAGATGAATTCCAGCAATGTCAGGCCCCATATTCCTATTAGGAAAGGTTTACATTAAAGGAGAACTATGAGGTGAGTGAAAATAACTCAGCCTCATAGTTCTAGCCGACCTGTGACAATGAAGCGGTCACAGGTCGGCTCAATAGATCGGGAAGTGAGCGAACACATACCGTCACTCGCTCACTTCTCGATCCTGTCCCTGCAGAGTGCTGTGACTGTCACTCACGGCTCTCTGCAGGGATTCCCACCCTCCCCTGTCCGATCCTCCAGCGCTGACTGGCGGAACGGACAAGGGGGGGCGGCTACAGCTGGCTCTGCAGATCTGTAGATAGGCAGAGCCAGCTGTCACTCACGCAGCTGGGTGGATCTCGACTGTAATGTCAGGATCCGTCCCGGCTGCGGCGTCTCAGTATACCGCGAGCTGTAGCTCGTGGTATACTGAGTTTTGGGTGACGGGAGGACGCTAGTTTGTGTCCTCCCGTTGCCCTTAGGAAAACTATGGGGAAAAGCCCTGACCCCATAGTTCTCCTTTAAGTGTTAACCGCCTGCCCCAGGACAAAACCCTTAATCTGTATCGTATTGCATTCTCCCAAACTTAACATTTAACCCATTTCCTCTAAATTAAGCCTTTACGTTTTCTTAAATTTTTTGTTTTACAGGTAAAGAAAATTGGTGTGTTCAGTTGTGGACCTCCTGGAATGACGAAAAATGTAGAAGATGCTTGCCGGAAACTTAACAAACGAGACGAGTGCCATTTTATGCATCACTATGAGAATTTTTAGCTCACTATTGAATACTTAAATTTCACAATCAATTGTTTCAGGTCACATTTATTGTTACGGTTTAACTTTCATCAACTTGTACTACATTAGTAAACGATGCCAAGTATCACAAACTGCCCCTAAATAAAAACAATTACATTTACGGAAGCTGCTTTACTCTGTGACAGACACTTAATTATGAGCTTAATATTCTTAACCAAGTTTTAAATATGTGATTGCAATGTTCTGTAGTGCATATACCAATAAAGAATGGATTTTCACTTTTAAGAATCTTATGTTTTGTACAGTTTAAGTCACTATGTGAGACCGGGCTTTTACTCTGGTACTGACCTACATTTTAATTGTTAAATTGACAGGAGCTTGTACAGAGCACTGATGGGTACATATTTTTACTATTTATTACAGGTATTTATATAGCACCAAGGATTTAGGCAGCACTTTACATAATACACATTCACATCATTCCCTGCCCTTATGGAGCTTACAATCTAAGGTTCCTATGGAAATATGGTACCTACTACACATGCTTACAGGGACACCTTACACAGGAGCCAATTAACCTTTCCAACATGTTTTTGGAGTGTGGGAGGGAACTGGAGTAGCTGGAGGAAACCCACACAAGGAAACCCAGTGCTGCAAGACAGAAGTGCTAACCACTACACCACATTTACCCCCTTCACCTCCTCTTCCCTCTATGTATGACATGGACATTTAATGTATCTAGTGCACCATTACCAAGCTCCATGTTTATCCCCCTCAATAATGGCATGTTTCTTCAGTTCCAAAAAATAGTGTCAAAAATGAGATTACCTTGGGATGTCTATTTTCCAAAAAGGTGGTGTGGCAATAATTGATGCACTGCAAAGAATCAATGCTGGGCACATTTAGTGTAGAACTGACGTATATATTGAACGCAGCTTACACAGGCGTGTTTAGTGGGATAATCCTGGGCAGGAACATGCTGTTTATCCCAAAGTTAAAAGTACAGTAATAGATCCTGATATAAATTTACATTGTAGATGTTCTAGTTTTACAGACATATTTAAAAAACGCCTAATACAGACTGATCATTGTCCTTGTCGGCAGGCTTTATGTGTTATTTGTCTGAAATTCCAAAAGAAGTTATTACAAATATCACAGTCAAGGTATGCCAATTAAGAGATTTCAGAAAGTAGGGACCTAACTGTTTGACCTGTAGTTTCCCCCAATATCCATCCCTGTATGACAACCAAAAATATGGGTGGGGTTTTTAATAGACATCACCAATTTTCATGCACCCCAACCTTTTTTCCAGAAGGCAATTAGAAACGTACATTGGACAATGTTGTAGATCTGCATCATAACTGTAATACAAACAATGCTGTATTAATTATTTCATTTATATATACAATTTGACAAGTGTATTTCAATACAGTTAACCAAATGCACTTCTGTAAAGAAAACGCCTATATCTTGCCAGTTTAAGGAACCACCAGACCTGTAATAGAAGTTGTTTTATCTAACATATCTACTACTACTACAATTAACCTATATATACACAAAATATATGTGAACTGCTCAAAGCAATTTGAAAGCTGTGAAATGTAATTATAGATATACATTTTTAGAAACTTACTCCACTGGTGGTTTGCCAAATCCAGTGCTGCATTTGGAATTTCCAAATAAATAATTGACAGTAGGACTCACCACCTCCATGAATCATTATGATTTAGATAACTCAAATCTTAATCTTAATAAATCTTTAATAAAAGTAGTACATAATAAGTAGGACAGTTAATATGTAGATTTGTAGACCAATAGGTCATGTATTACTGGCATAACTTATAGCTTATTAGAATCCAGTTGATCATATTGTCACTCTTGCCTTCTAAATATAGAGGCTTATAAGGCCATGCCTATGTTTTATTTAAACATTTTAAGAACAGCTGCTCTTAAACATTTAACGAATTCTGCTGTTTTGCTGATACTCGCTCCATGGCTCCGAGCGCCAACAATCATCCCACATTCAAAGGCTGTTAAATCACGTTGTTTACCCATATCTTCAGAATAGAATCACTTCTACTGTCGTGGTAAACAGCCTGCTTCCCTATTTATAATGGTCTGGCCCTCTAGCAACTTCAGCGCGAAATTATAGCTAATTTGGCTACAAACATCAGGTGGTCATAATAATCTGGCCACTCAGTGTATATTAGCTACTTTTTACTGAATACAGTAGAAAATAAGTTGTGCCAGCCACTACGATATCACAATATGTCAGCAGCACAGGAACTGACCTTAGACTGGAAACTACTGTATATCTCTTTCAGTAGCCCTAGGGGTTATAACTGAAAATGTGAATTACCATAAAACACATGTAATATTTTTGCTAAAACTGGTCCACTTTAATAAATATGCAAATACCTTTTTAAAATGATCCAGAAAAAAGATTCCTGAGAATGTAAAATCCCCTAAACATTCACTGCAGTCAAATCAATCACATGCACCAGAAGGATACACCTGTGGTGAATTTTTGAACAGAATACAAAGTAGATGGTGATTAAACCTGGCAGGTATTGATGCACAAAGTCTGTCAGCAGCTGGTTTAGGCAACCCTTTCTGCATAAATATCTGCCTGATTTAACTACCATATACATTGTATCCAGTCCACTACATACTATCTTACTACAAGCCCTGGTGAAGTCATAATTACATATGAGTGTGTTTTAAAGGCATGTAGTTACATCATACTGGGTCTCTGTAATGAATATGCCTGTGTAATTGTATCTACAAAAACATGTCTGTGTTTTTCTGCTTCTAGGAATGTCTTATAAATGTGTAAACCAGAGCTTCATAACTAATGTTTATTATAAATAATCATTAAAAAAACAAACAAAGTTGTGAGCAAATAAAAGAAAGCTCCAAAAGATCAGCTGTACAGAAGCCAGGGTAAGTGTTGTCCATGGTGATGTACATGCTGATCATTATGCTTTTGGATCTGTCTTTTTGGAATATGCTTGGAGTCATTTTAATAAATCTTGGGCAACACTTACCCTATTCTACAGCCTGCACCCAGAATGTGAATTTACTGCAGTCGATGTTGGAATGGAGCGGAGGTCTTTAAATATATAAATAAAGCAGTGCTTAAAATATTAAGGAAATAACAGGGAATAATTAAGCTATATAGCTATTCCAGACAATAAACCAATTGGAGAATTGCTAACGCTACCCAGAAAGTATTTTGACTCCAATCAAGTGTCCAGTGTCAACTAAGTATCTGTTTGGCTAGGAATATTTTCACAAGATCAGCAGTGCATTACATTCTTTTGCTTGTTGCATCTGATATATACACACATGGGGACTCCTATACATATATGCACGCACAACACACACACACAGACACATAAAGGTTGAACTTGATGGATCTGTGTCTTTATTCAACCTCAAATACTATGTAACTATACAACTATATTAACCTGTTCTACCTATAGTTAGGGATGACTGAATCTGCCTAGGTTCAATTCACCCAGGGTTCCATGAATCCGCTTTGAAACTCAGCAAACCTCAACTTGGTGGCAAATCCCATTTATGTCTATCGGATTTGAATCTTGTTAGTAAATTCTGGCCACATTTAGGGCTAATAGGCAAGCTACTGTCAAAAACTTCGGAAGCAAGGAACTGCCATGGGGGACATGTACCAATGCAAAATTAAAAAAACAAAAATACTGTACAGCAGGCAGAGGGTCTTTTCATGCATTTTTAAGAGCAACATTGAAGATACACTAATTCTTTAAATTATTATTATTACATAGTATTTATATAGCGCCAACAGTTTGCGCAGCGCTTTACAATGTAAGGAAGACATTACAATAAAATTCAAGACAGGATGGTAAGGAGGGCCCTGCCCCTGAAGGCTTACAATCTGAAAGAGGAGGGGGAAATGATACATGAGGAGGTAGCTGTGTGGGGATGAATTGTTTGAGAATGTGATGCTTGGGGGATACCTTAATGCAGTACATGTTAAAGAACAAAACAATTTTCACAAACAGTCGCAGCAACAGTAAAGTGTAACAACTGTAACAGTAAAGTAAACTAGCAGAGCATATTTGGCTATTGAATTGTTTTTATTTTTACAATTATCTTGGTTTACATGCAGCAGCAGCATACTAATCTGATGCAAAGCAGTTTGTAAAAAAGGTTTTGGCAGTAGTTTCAGCAGGGACGCGTGCTTTTCTTTATCAAGCTGTAATAGGCCCACTTTGACTAGCAGATAAAAACTAGTAGTTCACTGAGGCTTTCCCTGTTCTTGTTAAAGCAAAACGGTCCTGCCACTAGTTAATTTTTTAATTTGGGCCCAAAGTGTCAATATTTTGTGTGGCCACCATTATTTTCCAGCACAGCCTTAACCCTATTGGGCATGGAGTTCACCAAAGCTTCACAGGTTGCCACTGGAGTCCTCTTCCACTCCTCCATGACAACATCACGGAGCTGGTGGATGTTGGAGACCTTGCACTCCTCCACCTTCCGTTTGAGGATGCCCAATAGGGTTTAGGTCTGGAGACATGCTTGACCAGTCCATCACCTTTACCCTCAGCTTCTTTAGCAAGGCAGTGGTCGTCTTGGAAGTGTGTTTGGGGTCGTTATCATGTTGGAATACTGCCCTGCGGCCCAGTCTCTGAAGGGAGGGGATCATGCTCTGCTTCAGTATGTCACAGTACATGTTGGCATTCATGGTTCCCTCAATGAACTGTAGCTCCCCAGTGACGGCAGCACTCATGTAGCCCCAGACCATGACACTCCCACCACCATGCTTGACTGTAGGGGGGGGGGGAGTTTGACTTTAATGTCACTTTAAGTGTTAAGAGACCACAGATGATACAGACATTTTTAATGAGGGAGAAATGGTGAAAGTTAATTACAGATAAAGAGGTTGATTTCCTAAAGGCAAATAGGCTGTTCACTTTGCAGGGGAACTTCATCTTAGCTTAGTGAATAGTGAGTAAAATCTCTGCAGACTTCCATCGCTCAGTCATGTGCAATCATACATACTTTTTT